AGTTCTAACTGTGCTCACAGGTCGTACACACATGAGCACTGAGACAATAATTAGAAAACCTGTATAGACAGAAACCCTACAAATCTGCATTGTACAAATTACCTCTGAACTTCAGAATTTTCTCAGTTTTAACCCTATGGACCTACATTATGTTTCCACACTGGAAAGAACTGCCACAATCTGAGCAGCAATCACGAGGTTCGGAAAGAGCTTTAGTGCCACTAATCAAAAGTGATTTCCTCCAAATAAATAACGTTATGGGCAGTCTGCTACTTGTTCAATCATTTAAAAAAACAACACATAAAACAATAACTTCAGACTTACCAGGTCAACGAGTGCAAATAAGAGTTCGTATTGACCACAAACATGGCTTGTACAATGCAGAGTACAACCCACATTCAATCAAGCTCTAATCTATAAACTATCTCACTGTCAATTTAGAAGCAAACGTTGACCTAACATGAATGTTTCTGGCAGCATGCAGAGTTTAAATGACACTGTGTAATATCTTAATAGTCCGAGAAATAAACCCTTGCTAGTGCTTTGATGTAATACTTCAATACTAAATATTGCCAAAGAAAATGAAAAGAAGCCTGATGAATATCAGCAGCACATTCTTTGGTCAGATTACACCAGTGGTTCTCAAAGTGTTTGACCGGAGTTTTGACAGGAACTAATGTTTAACATCAGAATCACTTTTACGGCGGAATAAAGACATTCGCGTCAGTTACGTTAATAATATGCGGATCTGCTGCAACAGATGGCTGCAGTGTGTACTGAAAGGTGCGAATCTGTGGTCCGAGCCATAGCCAAAGTAAGAGAGATAAGATAAGATAAGACTTTATTGATCCCACAACGGGGAAATTTTTGCATCACCTCAGCTCAGGTACAGATATATGAAGGAAATACAAAAATACAAATAAGTACAATCAATGAAAAAAAGTAAGATAATACACTATATACAATGGTAGCATACACAGTATGTGATTATGGATATAGTTGGAAATATGGAAGACATAAACTATATAGCTTGGAAGGTATCATGGAAGGAAAGTAGGTATCCCCGACAGAATTTGTTTCCCCTTCGTCGGGAGCACGCACTGGGCTGTCCAAATCACGGACAAACAGTATCCCACATTCTTGATTTTTAGTTCACAAACACCTCTGATAATGACTAACTACTCCTGAAATTTTGGAGGTTTTAGCTCTGTACAGTTACAGAAGAATACCAATAATTATCAGTCAAAATGTCCTTGGTTTATTGAAACAATCCCGTCCGATAATACGTGAGAACAATCAATGTACCATTTTCTGTTGTAACCCACAAACTGAACAGTAATGTAACAACACTTATCTTTCACTAAAGCGGTTTATTACTCCCACGTCTAGGATGTTGTAAAGGAGGCAGAGTCAGCTGGATCTGCTCTCCCTGCACAGTGAATGCTCCTGATGCAAAGGAAACAAATTTTGACTGGGACACCTACTTTGGCACGCCGGCGAGGCGTTATTGGGCACGCTGCTCAGGTGCTTCCACCTCCCCCGCTTCCGCGCCACAGACCACGCCCCACCACAGCTCTGCTGTCAAAAACAGGCTCACTGCAGCCACTAAGAGTGATTAGTATTAAACCCTCACTAAATTATATATTTTTAATCTCTGTTCACAAATTTCTGGATGTCTTTTTTCCTTTTTTTAACAAGACTAAGACTGAACTTTATTTTCCATGTTTGGCAATGTTCACATTCTATTTAATTTAATGCTTTTTTGAAGAAAGGGTGAAGTCTGATGAAGCAGTCTAGTGACAAAAGTTACAAATAGTTGTCTGAAAGGAAAGTTGTTTGTTTAAAAAAAAAAAACTACTGAAGGATTGATTGTGAATGAGTTTATGATCTAAATAAAGTTGCAGCTCAGCTTTTCTGTCATTGTTTTGTTTAGATGGGGCGTGAAAATATTTCTTCCTGCCACGTGGGGAACGATGTAACAAGTTTGAGAACCACTGGGTTACACCAAGATACATTTGTTGTGTTGGGGTCCAGATTTTGGCCTAAACCTGGCCAGCAGAACCTGCTGACTGCAAAGTCCAGATAGCAATGCACAGAGGTTGTAGCATTACTAGGTTGCATTTCATGAATACAAAATAGTGGATCGCTGTGTGTGTGTGTGTGTGT